GTTGAAATGAAAAAGTTAGTGACGAGCGGGATTCGAACCCACGACCTTCAGCCGCTGCTGTAACACTTGAGCTATCTTGACTTCGATCCACTCGGACACCAACTCCCTATCAAAAAGAAAAATGGCAAAAAGGAGGGAAAATTCAAAAGGGTTGAGATGGGGAGTTGGTGTCCGTGTGGATCGAAGTCATGATAGCTCAAGTGGTCAGAGCAGCGGCGTATTTAGCCGGCCGTGGGTTCGAATCCCGCTCGTCACTAACTTTTTCATTTCAACCAAAACCTTACATCAAAAGATTTAATTGTAAAATATATTAGCTGGGCAAAGTCAAAATGTTTAATTTAGTAAATGTATTCATACATCGTTAAAAATTAACCTAATTTGTGACTGATATCTGCATAGTTAGGCCTGGGTAAAGTTAAAATCCAAAAGCTTTTAAAAAATTTATTTACGCAATGCTGTAGGTCGAATTACCATGGAAAGCGGAAACAAACTTTGTTCATAGTTGATGTCTCTTGCTTACGTGTTTTAAATTATCGTTCCATCAATTTTAATAAAGCGGCAGTTTCACTTTTAAAGGCGACGCGCCTTCGGCCAATTACCGGCCTACGTACATAAAGGAAAGTTTAGTCAAAGGCTTAGGCTGTTACTTAAGCCGTGAATGCCGGTTCAACAACATCCGAGAACCTTAAGTTAATATAATCGCGAGTAATTGACTTGACCAAACTAGCATGAAATTGATTCGTACCTCAGGGTGCGCTTGAGGAAAATGGATTCCATTAAAAAAAAATTTTACGATTGTCAAGCCTGTCAGTTTTGTGTAACTTAAAGCTTATTGTGCGCTTTTTAAAACTACAATTTTATGTTTGAGATAGTTTATTGATACCTTTAGCTGTCGACTGAAAAGACGGAAAACAAAATCTATGAACTATAGAAAAGCTAGATCAAGAATCTTTTCGAAGATAACTACAATTAAAAAAATAGGTGGATGTGGCTAGATGTGTGGCCCACCTGAGAGGAAACAGATTCGACAGGGCCGTATCTCGTCGACGACGTCAAATACCCAGGAGTACGAAATGTCAGTGTCATCGCTGTCCTTTTCACCGAAATGATAGTCCTCTCCGTGATCCATTGTTCGATTCATTCCTCTCCCCCTTTCTTCCTTCCGATGTCACCTTCAGCCACCCCTGGGTTAAATGACGACTTCAGACGATACCTGTTTTCACCCCTTTTTCGAGAAAACTTCGCCGTTCCATAACTAACTTTCGATAGACCCTGTCCGAGAACTTTTTTATAACTTGCACCTCAGGCGAGGGAAAACCGATTTTATTTCTTGTGAATTATTGTCAAATATAGTGAACACCTTTGAACTATTAACTTTTAAATAAAACCGAGGGAGAAAAAGAGTATGATTCTGATGCGTGTTTTTACTTAGCTTTTTTGCCAAACATTTATTTTACACATGCATAAAGTAACAAATTAAATAAATTAAAACAAAAATTATTTAAAACAGAATAGAGCATGCAGTGAGGCTCTCAGATAATGGTTCAAAAGAATCAAAAAACTCCCTGAAATTTTACTGCGATGACACATGTTCATCACTAGAGCTTATAAAGACACAAAGAAACTTTGTGATTCTAAAGGCAAATATATATCCCATGATTAGAGAAACGATGTTTTCTTATATTTCGACCTCAACAGTTTTATGATTTTTCCTTCTTGAAGGTGGGATAATAGGTCAGACTCCGAAATTTTTAACGTTTTAATAATTAAAACGTTTGTTCGGAGTCTGAATATGTACCACACTGGGTCTTTTTTTAAATAAACTGTTATAAAATATTAATGACTGACGACCACTGATTTAACCACTGTTAACTCACCTGAGTCGAAATGGCTATTCTCTAACTCTAGGAGGGGAATAAGGAGGCTGATAGGTATCCTAACGGGCCATTGCCCCTTGAGAAGACACCTCTTCATAATGGGTACTCTACCAGACCCCTTCTGCCGCTTCTGCGAAACAAAAGAAGAAACGGCCCGACACTACCTCCNTTTTTTTTTTTTTTTTTTCAGATGACCTATAATCCCACCTTCAAGAAGGAAAAATCATAAATTGTTGAGGTCGAAATATAAGAAAACATCGTTACCCTAATCATAGCAAATATTTACTTTAGTCTTGTGAATTTGTCGTTTCTTTTGCAACGAATCAAAAAGTACGAGTTTATCTTTGCCGAATCGGCTCAGAGGAAAAGATCAGTAAATCATATTTTAACTAAGACTTTTAAATCATTTTATATTATTTATTATGTGTGGTGATTAGTGACCGTTAATCGATGATTATTCAAAAATCGTGAGATGCGGTCTGGTGTGATGTAGGTTTCAGAAAAAAACATTTTCTTTATCGTGCCAACGTAATAAATATGACGTAATCTACAAAATCAACTGTTTAAACTGTCCGGCAACTTACATCCCAATATCTGGACAAGAGAGTAAAAAACATCTATGATTGCAAAAAATCCTACAAGACAAACACTTTAAGTGAGAAGAAATACTTTGATTGAATATAAAAAAATATATTTTGCATTGTGTAAATTCACTTTTTTAGCTCCTAAATGTATTTGTTAAATGTAAACAATGTTTGTAAATCCCAGGCCCTGAAGATGATCTCAATACAGATCGAAACGTTAGCACGATAAAAAAGAAAAGGTTTTTCGAAAACCTACGTCACACCAGCCCGCATCTTACGATTTCTGAATAATTATTTATTATGTTCACCCACCATTCGGTTTTTTTTTTATTCAAGGGTAGGGGGAGAATAACTGATGAGAATTTGAGGAAATAAAGGGTTCTGGGTGCAGAGGTCTGGATAATGGTGGGTGATAAGTTTCCAAGGACCTCTTTAGTCCCTACATAACATTAAGGGGCCCTTCAATTACGAAGCGGTCTACGCCTTTCCCTCCGACTGCTTTCCTAATGACGTGAGGATTTCACAGCCCTTTCGACGCCGAGAAGGTTCATCCGGAAGAAAATTGACTCTGTCAAAGAAAACGAATTATCCTAAAAGAAAACTATGTTTCATCATTGAAATACTGTAGATGTGGAATGTAGTCAAATAGTTCTCTTTGGTTCAAAAAATACAAAAAAAGAACCATATTTAGCCTGGTTTTGTTTATTAAACCCATAGTATTGTATTATTGGGTTGTCCGGAAAATAATGCAGGATTTTAAGTTTTCATTAAAAAAAATCTATATAAAATATTCTGTTTACGTTTACAGGATTACTCNGTATGGGAAATTATTTTGATTAAAGAACATTGCTTTAAAGTAACTAGTTTCTTTTTTTTTGTTTAATACCAAAATCCTGCATTATTTTCCGGACAACCCAATATATTCATATTTCAAGCAATTCCGTTTATATTGTCACACTGACGTTCACTAAAATCCTATTTCTTTATTTTCTCCTAAACGATTTTCTTAGACATCATACATAGTAACTCAGACAAATATGCCATTACAACATTATAAAGTTACAAATATAATTATACATTGACACATACATACACAGTAGGCACGATTTTTACAAAAACCATGGAAATACTATTGCAGACAAAGATATTCACGTTTTATATGTTTTCATGCTTTCCATCTCCGTCATAAAGGCAAGGGTTTTCATTTGTGCCGTCAATAGCCAGTATCAACTTAAAAAATAGTCCATTTATGTTTACTGTCCTAATTGACCATATTAATTATTTCAATCGATTATTCTTTTTATGTAAGGTCTTGGTTGAGATGAAAAAGTTAGCGTCACGAGCGGGATTCGAACCCACGACCTTCCTAAGTCGCTGAATCTTGATGACAACACGACATTTGAAAAATGGCAAAAAGAGTGAAAATTCGAAAGGTTGTAGGTTGAGATGGGGAGGTGGTGCAGATGGAAGTCACGGTAGTTCAAGTGGTTAGAGCAGCAGGATATTTAGCCGAAGGCCGCTCGGTTTTTATTTTCTTCATTTGTATTAGAAAAACAATTTAAACGCACTGTTTTAAATTTGATGCCCTAAACAACCCCATTTGCGTGAATCAGTGTTGCTTTCAGTGTTGCCACAAACAAAACAACGGGAAAACAGTTTCCAACTGTTTCAAATCTCCCCCCACCTAGAAAATGTTAGCTAGAGGAGCGGGGTATCTAGCCGAAGATCTTGGTTTCTAATCCCGCTCGTGACACTGACTTTTTTTTATCTCAACTAAAAACCTTAATTAATTGAGTTATTAACTGGTCAAGCGGACCACGAAAACTAGTGAATTTAATAAGTTAAAATGAAGTATACTTTCACTAAAGCTCTCCGTGGCCATTTTATTTGTCGCCGAGAATCAAATAAATTACACGACATTTGAAAAATGGCAAAAAGGAGGGAAAATTCAAAAGGTGAGGTTGAGATGGGAAGTTTTTGTCCGAGTGGATCAAGGTCACGATAGCTCAAGTGGTAGAGCAGAGGCGTATCTAGCCAAAGATCGTGGGTTCGAATCCCGCTCGTGACACTGACTTTTTTATCTCAACTAAAAACCTTAATTAAATTAAAGTTTTTATTTGCATTCAAACACCTCTTTAACGTACTAAATTAAATACGAGCTCAACTGAAAACCCCCTTCATTTTGGAATCAGTGTTGCCCACAGTGTTACCAAAAGAAGGGAAGGAGGGAAAAAGAGTTTTACACCAGCCCCTCAGAAATCAAATTTTTCAATTGTAGACATTATTTGGATAAAGATTCTAATCAATATTTGTATTGTAATTTAATTTGATAATACGTAACTAATTTCCGTGTATGCTTATCAATACTGTATAAATAACGAAATAAATTAAATTTATAAGACGTTTTTCCAGAATTTTTTGTTAACTGTCTTCTTGGTGGACATTATTTTGACAATTACATTATACATGTGCTAAAGTGGCCTTATTATTTTTCATTTGTTTTTTTCACCATAGTAATTAAGCTATTTCTCTGTTTCAGCGGGCGCCACTCCAGCCGACCAGAAACAGAACGGTCGGCCGTCAACAGCTAAGCAAGGTGAGTCCCTTTAATTTTCCCGTTAAAATCCCTTGGAACTCGACAACCCTGGCAGGAACTCGACAAATTAATATTTCACTTTTCATCATCGAATCCACTCCTCCAAATAGTCACTAATCATAAATGATTTTTTTTTCACTCTCTTTCTTTACTCTGCATTAATCCGTTTGAAATGTTGGAAAGGTCTCCACTGGTTTGCAGAATGCGCAAGCCCTGTGTTCAGCCAAGAGAGGAGACATCGTCAAACGAACGGTATTCCATCGAATTATTGTTTATCTAATCACGTCTGTGAGTTATGGCCTGTTTTGAAAATGCCTAGTTGTGTTTTAACGTTTTTCTTCTTTTTTTCTCTTTTTTTTGTGTGTGTTTTTGGCTTTTCAAATAACCATCAGGGATATCGAACGTTTTTCTCCGTCCCACCACAATGGTTTTCGCAGGATAAACAAACCGAAATGACGGACTTCCAATCTTCCAGAGTAAACAAGCCATATCAGGAGCGGTGTTTGCCCTCCTTCTAAGATTTTCAAAGGAAAGGATACGGTTTGTCCCAGAGAGGTACCCATTCCCTGATAAACAATCTTTTGATATTCCTTACTATCGTCTAGTTCTTTGCTCACAACCTTAGGGAAAATAATCGAAAAACCATCGTCTTATTTGCAGTTGTTCTTTTAGCAATAGTCGGCCCCTCTTCAATATTTTTTACAAAATTCCATTTTATATATATAGCATTTCTTATCCTTGGTAAAAGTGCTAGGCGAAAATCTCAATTATCTTCATTATTTGTAGAATATAACTTTCCTTTGATTTGTCTTTGATATATTCTCGTAAATATACCGCAGGATGACTGACTCATATTGAAATTTTAAACTTTTCCCTCCATTTGCAGTATATTATATAAAGGATTCATTTAAAATCAAGGTGATGAATAAAGATCATATCCATTTTTGCTCAGACAATCGAATAAATGAACTACCTTTCATTTTATCCAATGCCAATTTCAAATCGTTTCTGACAGTGGGGATATATATGAATATGTTAGAACATAACAATCGATTTGTTTTTTTACGAGGATAAGGGGATCCATTTTGAGTCATATCTCTTCTAATGGTTTTGCTGGAAGATTTTCATATCTTTATTGATTACTATTATTAATTATAATTATAATTATTAATTATTAATCTTCTCAGGGGTATGGTATCATTCTCATCTTTATTCTATATCGAACAAGAATGACTTTCTAAATACCTCTTTTCTAGCTATTTGCAGGATAGTTGCATAGAACCTGCTACGATTTCGCTAAACAACCCTACTTCCATAAATCAGTGTTGCCTACAATGTTGACAAAACAAAGGATTGAGGGAAAAACCGCGTCTCCTATTTAATCCCCCCCCCCGAAAAGACAAAAGTTTACAACATTAAAATTCTGCTTAGGTCGTCATTGCGCAGAAGCAATATCATAAATAGTAAAAGAAACGAAACTTATTATTCGGATGTTCGGTTTTTATACGTTTTATTTACAACTATGGATAAAATTTGGCCCAGATCGACATTGCCCAGGGGAACCGGCGGTGGTCCCGAAATACGTATAGCCCATGAAAAGTTGATCAAGGAGATTATGAAATACCCCACCACATAAACTTCACAAATAGTAAAACAAATGCGTATTTTTATTTGGAAGTTATTGGATTGGTTTTTGTTGCTTTTATTTACATTACAAACAACTTTTATCGCACTATTCTAACATAGACGTACTAAACAATCCCACTTCCCAGAAGCAGGGTTGCCTCCAGTGTTACCAAAAACAAGGGATAGAGGGAAAAACTGTATCACCCGTTTAACCCCCCCCCCTCGAATAGGCACAACTTAACAATTGTGGACAAAATTTAATTTTAATTTAATTCCTCTTAGTTTACACGACGACAATCTAATCTATCGAACAAAAACAAACTTATAATATACAATACGCTACTACAACCAATTTGGACCTAACCTAATATCCCATTTTCAATGCTCTTAGTGTAAAGATCACTTGTAAATGTACTATATGTCTACACTACCCTCCAAAACAACCTTAAAATCACTGCTCTTAAGAGCAGTTGTATCATTAATGTCAATCTCATCTACGGTTACATTGTACCTCTCAGAACGTAGCACCATATTTTGTTAGTAGGTGTGTGGTGTTTCCTCTGCTTCTTTGCAGAATCTGCACTTGCCATATTGGGTTATGCCAATTTTCTTAAGATGACAGTTTAGTTCGCAGTGTCCTGTCAAGAATCCTATTAGACTTCGTAATGTTTTCCTACTTCCGTTAATGCATACTTTTACCGCGTTTCTTCCAAATTTTGCTAGAAGGTTCTTGGATTGTTTGTGTCCAATGAGTGAGTTTCATTGTTCCCTCATTTTGTTTAAGGTTATTATTGATAGTGTGAATTCCTATGCTACAGAAGGACTCGGGTCGTACCGGTATTGCAGTACTTTTCTCGAAGGGCGGCGCCCGTTGCCTTCTACTCCCAAATTTCCCAGGGAGAACTTTGTTTTGCATACCTAAAGAATTTATTATGTTCTACTGTAACCTCCCTCGCCCAAACTTTCTCCAACAATGACCGAATCTATTATTTGGAAGGATGGTTCAAGAATTGGAGGATTAAACTCAATGAAACCAAATCCCAGGAAATAGTTAGTTCATCACCTCTCCTCCAATACATTACAACTCAGTTCCTTTTCCAGCAATTAATGTCGTCCACTATTTGGGATTTGGCATCGATAAAAGACTTTGAACTGTTCAAGCTCCCTACATCGAATCCAACCTGACCTTCCCACAGACCTCCAAATATCGCTTGTCCTTGAAACCGGAATACGTCCATATAGAGCCTCCATAAAACCTTCGAACCTGATCGCAACCCTTTTAGCCCAACACCTTTCAACCCGACAATCATCTAAAGTGCCAATGGTTTCGCAATTTCTTACCTAGAGAGGGAAGTGAATTACTTCTCCTAAGTTACAGACAACTAAGTTACTTTTAGCGCTCTGAAGCTGTTGTAAAGTAACATAACAACAAGTAAATAAAAAATTAAGAGCGATTTGCTGAAAAATATCTATAAATACAGACCATTTGTAGTAGTGAAAAGCGTTAAATAGTAACGAAATGTCGAAATGAGAAGTTAATGCCCGAGGGGATCGAAGTGGTAGAGGAGCGGCGTATCAAGCCGAAGGTCGTGGGTTCGAATCCCGCTTGTGACACTGACTTTTTATTTCAAGTTAAAACCTTAATTAATTGAATGTTATTAATTGGTCAAGCGGACCACGAAAAATAGTGAAGTTAAATAGTAACATTTTAACCCTCGTCCCCGACACCCTACGGTCATACGAAGAGGGTAGTGCCCTCTTAATTACCTATCATTTCCTATTTGATTTATTTCAAACTTTTCAAGTGGCTCTGATCGAAAAATAAACACTGTTGATAAAGCACTTATTATTGTTTGATAATAACGATTGATAATTAACATTCAAATATGCATGGAAGTTTTCATTTTGCTCGTCATTTCAGGATTTTCGTTTTAATTGGAAAGCTAACTTTTTTGAATAAACAAATACATCCTTATTGCCTTTTTATTTTTAATTAAGTGTTTGATGAACCAGGATCCGATTCGTGACCGATATCGACCGGGTGAGATTCCTCGTTAACCCTTGTTCTGTTTAAAGATATCTTTTTGTGTCGGTTCTTGATTTTATTTACCTCCTTTTCTTTTAATTTTACAACCGGCTTGATGTTGAAACGCATATCCGTCCGGTAATTAATGTTTCTCCAATCTGAGAAACCCCCTTTTGCCGTCTATTGCGTGGAATTAATGCCTCCAAAGCGAGATAACACTGTGGTTTGTTCTCTCCAATATTTATTGTCCGCATTTAACCAAGTCTCGGTATCGATTCGGTATTTCGAATTGTTCTAATGCATGGGTACATACTGTAATTTCGCTTAGAATAACCGTCTTGAATTTTTTTTATGATTTTACAGGTTCAAACAATGCATTAATGCAACACCTTTATAAGTGGTAATCAATAACAAAATATCAAAATCAGCCCAATCCAATATAAATACAACAGAGCATAGTGTAATAAATTTATTCAGGAAATAATCAAAGTAATTTTAATTGCAATAACGGCCGTATTCATCTTGTAAAACGCATTGCGTTGACCATTGTCCAAAGGGTTTTTTGCTCAAATGTCTCCATCGACCAAAGCCTCCTCCCAGCTTAAGTAGCAACGATTTTTTCCCCGATTTTACCAACAAAATAGACCCCTTATTTGCATTAAAACAAAGCAGCTTTTATTTCTCCTCACTAATGCTAACCACTTGTCCATGATTAATGTCTTATCTTGTCTAGAAGTTTATTTTCAGGTTCTATCCACAGAAATGTCTTCTTTATTTTAAAAGTCATAGAAAAATCCTTGCTGTCCAAAAACACACTTCCATTTAATAAGAATATAATTTATGATTATTTAGAGATCGTGAGATGCGGCATGGGGTGATGTAATTTTAGAAAAACATTTTCTTACAGAAAAAAGTATTTCTTTCCATGCTTACATCCCCATCCTTTAAAATCAAACATATAAATAAAAAAATTAATATCTCACTAACACACTCAACACGACACACAATAGTGACACATCTACACAGAAAACCCACATTTTGAGAGAGTACAAAATAATTTGATTAAACCTAAAATTTCTAGATTGTGTGCGTCATTGTATAAATCATATTCACATCATACATGTAGTAAATATTTGTATAATTTAAACAATGTCTATAAATTCCAGGCCCTGAAGATAATCTCGATAAAGATCGAAACGTTGGCACGATAAAGAAAATGTTTTTCTGAACCTACATCACAACAGATTTCATCTGACGATCTCCAAATAATCATCAGTTAACGGTCACTAAACACCACACAAATATAATTTATTTTTGGCAGGCAATAATCAAAAGTATTTTAAAACACCACAATTTTTCAGTAAACAATTATTCCTCCCATTTGAAGAGAGAGAAAGAATGAGAAAGAAAGAAGAATTGAAAGAGAGAAAGTAAAGACAGAGATAGTGATAGAGAGAAAGAGAAAGAGAGTAAATGGAGAGAGAGAAAGAGTAAAAGAGTGACAGAGAGAGAGAGAGAGAGAGAGAGAGAGAAACAGAAGAATTAAAATAAGAGAAGTTAGAGAAAGTGTGAGATAGAGAGAGAGAGAGAGAATAAAAGATTGAGATAGAGAGAGAGTAAAAGAGCGAGAGAGAAAAAAAATGAGAGAGAGAGAGAGAAGAAAGTAAAGACAGAGATAGTGATAGTGATAGAGAGAAAGAGAGTAAATGGAGAGAGAGAAAGAGTAAAAGAGTGACAGAGAGAGAGAAAGAGAGAGAGAGAGAAACAGAAGAATTAAAATAAGAGAAGTTAGAGAAAGTGTGAGATAGAGAGAGAGAATAAAAGATTGAGATAGAGAGAGAGTAAAAGAGCGAGAGAGAAAAAATGAGAGAGAGAGAGAAAGAGTAAAAGAGTGAGAGAGAGAGAGAGAAGCAGAAGAATTAAAATGAGAGAGAGAAGATAGAGAAAGTGTGAGAGAGAGAGAAAAAAATGAGAGAGAGGGAGAGAAAAAAATGAGAGAGAGAGAGAAAGAGTAAAAGAGTGAGAGAGAGAGAGGGGGGGAGAGAGAAGCATAAGAATTAAAATAAGAGAAGGTAGAGAAAGTGGGAGATAGAGAGAATAAAAGAGTGAGAGAGAGAGAAGCAGAAGAATTAAAATAAGAGAAGGTAGAGAAAGTGGGAGATAGAGATAGAGAGAGAGAGAGTAAAAGATTGGAGAGAAAGAGAGTAAAAGAGTGATAGAGAGAGTGAGAGGGAGGGAGGGAGTAAAAGAGAGATAGAGAGAGGGAATAAAAGAGTGAGCGAGAAAGATTGAGAGTGAGAGAAAGAGAGAATAAAAGATTGAGATAGATAGAGTAAAATAGTGAGAGAGACTAAAAGTGTGTGTGAGAGAGGGAAGCAAGAGAATGAAAATGAGAGAAGGTAGAGAGAGAGAGAAAGAGAGAATAAAAGATTGAGATAGATAGAGTAAAATAGTGAGAGAGACTAAAAGTGTGTGTGAGAGAGAGAGAGAGAGAGAGAGAGAGAGAGAGAGAGAGAGAGAGAGAGAGAGAGAGTAAAAAGTGAGGTGTGTGTGTGTGTGTGTGTTTTAATAATAGTTTTTTTTTTTTAAATTAATTATACTTTTTAACTAAGGTCTTCAAAAAAGCTAGTGACAAGCAGGATCCAAACTCACAAGATGCTTAATACACCGCTACTCTAACTACTTGAGCTATAATGACTTTGATCCACCCAGACACCACCTCCTCATATCAACTTACAACCTTTTGAATTTTCCCTCTTTTTTCCCTATTTTCAAAGTGGTTAGAGCAGCAGCGTATTGAGCCAGCTTTTTCTTCTCAACCAAGGCCTTAGATAAAACGTATAAGTACTTGATATAATTAATACAGTCAATTATGAGACTTCTCGATACATATATAAATATATAAAACGTTGAAATACTTTTCACAGGTTGTATATTCTTCACCGCAAACCCTCTGGCACAATTAACATAAATCCCACTCAAAGCGAAGAAAGCCATACTAAGCCACAGCCTGATTTCCATGTCATTATACAAATCTGGATTAAACCCTGGGGTCCTTGATACCTTATCAAATTCTCCCCCAGCCCTGGAAAGATTCCTATGTAAATTTTGACAAAACAGAAAACGCCTTTTTTTTCTTTTACATTCAATTCAGGGATTTAATGAAATTTTACCATCTCCGCACTGGTCCGAGTCTAACGAGATACTTAAGAATATGCTAGGCAGGAGAACTAAACAAGTTAGCCCTTTTCAGTTTTTTATAATAGATACAATCTTGACAATAGTTTTCTATAATAGTGAAATCCATCTTTAATTGTTGATTTACCTACTTTGTAATAAATTAAAACAATAAAGTTTAGTGGTTTGCTTGGTGAAATACCATGTCTAACCAACTGTGGTGATGTCTGATTTCAATTTAGTTTGAATGTACTGTCCAAACAAGTTAAATTTCCTTTGAGCTGCTGTCAATTGGTTTACTAATAGCATAAACCGACCTTCATGTCTTAATTAGTATGACTAACTTAGAAGACAAATTTGTTTAAATAAATTTCAATTTTAAAATTATTTAAGTTTCATTTATTGTTTAAAAAAGGTTGCACTATTTTCTTTGGAACTTTCAAAACAGTTTATCTACAAGAAATAAATGGTGGCAATAAAGATGATTAATTTCATCTTCTAATCCGCATTTGTTTTCATTTGAAAATGACCTCAGAATGAAAAGTTTGTTTGACTATGAAGTTTTGATGGGTTTCCTCTGATAGACCGGCTATATAAACTTGTCTTCTTTCTGTCTAATAAGAGTTATTTTTGGGGACAGGGTCCACAGCGAGCGCCTCCACTTCCGGACTCTGGTTCTCTGATGACCTCGGCTTAGAAGGTAAAACCAAGAGAAGCATTAGAAAAACTTAAGCAGCGGCCGTGTTTGATTCCTTTGTGTGTGGTTTATCGGCACATCAGCTCCTACCCGGCGAGAGGAGCTGTTGTGCCTGCATGCTAACCTTTGTCTCCTTCCTTGTAGGCAAAAATAGACTTTTAAAACTTTTTACTATTGGGGGGGAGGTGTGTGAAATAATTATGAATCGACAGATAATTGAGTTAAAGGATGTTAATTTTAAAATATTTACAATTTGCCGACACCCGTGTATCATCAACATATTTTTAAAAAATCTGATTTCTAGACTTAATCAACTAAATAAAAATTACATGTAAGTTTTATTTTAAACTACTTAAGTTTTTTAAAATAGTTTCTGGTTAAGCAAAACGTTTTAAATATTCTGTGCGATTTATAATAAATTTCCATTAAATGAGCTAAAATTTAATTTTTTTTAAATTATCTTGAAATCATAAGGATACAAAATTTCAATGTTTAGCATCTCTTTGGAATGCGATATTAGCAATTTATGTATATATTGATATTAACTTTAAACATATTTTTGAACTTTGAACACCTCATTATTATTAGTTTATTCATTCTTTCGGCCTCTCATTCATAAAATTTCATTTATAGAAATGTCATTTCATACATCTAGTCAAAGAGTTTAGTTATTAGGGATGTTTACACGATTAATTAGCCGCTTCTGTTTTAGCCACTTAGGACACTTAAGATAGAGTAGTGATGGCAAAGAAAAGTGTTGGCACGTAGAGAAATAACAATTCAAAACCCTACTAACATCGTTTTGTATGACCTCCGTTATATACTTTACCTAATATTTTGGCCGGTTCATTTCTTTTTAGGTAAAGAGGGCACCCAAGTCGACCGAGAGGAGAGGCTCAGGCTCCTTAGGGAAAAACAAAATGACGAACGACAGAGGAAACTTGAGGAGCTTAAACAACAGGTTAAATAGAAATTAATTTTTAAAAAAAATGGTCGGTATTTATATTGTTTCTTTTGCTTGTAGGCATTGGCTGCTCAAAAGTTCCGTGAGCAGAAGGAGGAGGAGAGGAGAAGAAGAATGGAGGAGCTGAGGATGCGAGATACGGACAGACGGCATCAGGTGGAAGAGCGGAAGAGGCAGATATGGGAGGCAGAGAGGGATAGAAGAGAAGCCATTCTACGTAAAAATCAAGTAAGCCTAATCAGTTTTATTCTTAGCCTTCAAACACTAATGACTTTTTTTTTAAAGGAGCGTGAAGCCAGGATAGAATCAAAACGAAAAAATGAAAGAAGCCAGATAGTGTTTGCATTCGGAAGTTCGACACCGAGGATGCTCGAGCCTGGAGAAACATCTCCTTACTGGGCGACAAGAAGGTATATCATCGCATCACTTCCAATAACACTGTTTCTAATATTAAATTTAAAACTCAGGGCTACTTCAACGACAAACGTTATGACACTTTCATTGTCAGCGACTCCCGGTCCGTTAACAAGGCGGTCTTCAGAACGGGAATTGGACGGAAGTAAAAAGAGAGCCACTTCTGCTGGAGGGATTGAAAGAAAACCACAGCACGGTAACATTAAACTTCTCACAATTTTTTAAAATATTTTTTACACTTTTATACACACACTTGGCACACAAATATCTGGCATTCCCGACTCAATAACCCACTCAATACCCCCTAAATGTTTTATTGACCAGTAGTAACAGTGTTTTAGTTGGAATTTTGAGTCCCGTTTGCCAGGAGGATGAAATTCTTTGAAAATATATTTTACCCACCTTTTTGTTCACCCTGAGTAGAAACGACCTTGCACCTTTGTGACAAAGCACAGGAAGAAATCCCCTAGATAAATTACACAGTCTTTTGGCGAACAAACATATCAGATTCACAGCCGAAGGATTCCAGAAAGTATGTGTTTTTACAGATCCTCTTCGGATGACAAGCTCTTCGGTATACGAAGTGTTCCATTGGGGTTTGTCCCCAACAACAACAGAAAGATCTTTTAACCGTGATGGTTCGTAGACAAAGAAATCAACGAAAATATCCGCTTCTACTTTTTTCCTTTTTTTTTCTATAAAACTTTTTAGATTTTTGTCTCTTTCTTTGTCTATTTGTTTAAACAAAAACCTTTAATTGTGAAATGTTTTATCTCCTTTCTACTAAAAAAAAATTGTTCTTTGTTTTTTTTTTTGTTTTTTGTAATAATGACATTTTTGTGTTTTGTTTTTCTTTGAACTTGTTTATTTTTTTTATTTTTTATTTTTTTTTTTTTGACGTTTGTGGAATGACTGAAAGATTTTATTTTATTTTAACAAATAAAAAATAACCTTTCCAACAAAAAAAAGTTAACAAGCTTTGTGTCCCAATTTTAGAGGAAGATTTTATTTTTGTGTGTCTTAACGCTTTGGGCTTCATATTATTGAAAATGAACTGAACTCTTGGGCCTGTTTGAATTTTGAAAAAAATAAGTTTATGAATAAGTAAAACAATATACGTTCGAAGTAAAATTTTGGGTTTGTTTTTGTACGAATGATCTTGAGAGTGATAGAATAAGCATGAAACAGCCTGTCAGCTTTATTTAAATTTTGAAAAGTGTGTACAAATAAAAAAAAAAGTGTGCTGGTTTGAGTTGGGTGAGCAAGCTATGTGTATGCTTAATACGAGACTTTTGCGCCAAAAGAATATTACAAATTTTGGTCCGGTTGTGTTGTTTTCACAAAAATATTCTAGATTTTTCACTCACATTCACCATTAGTCAATTTTTTTTTTGTAGAGAAACCACCATTAATTTCTTTTAGTGTAGAAGAGTAGTTTAAAAAATAATAATAATAAAATAAAATGCTTTAAATAAAGACATAAATAATATCAAATTATAAAAGTAATTTCACATTAGAAGTAGATTATTTATCTTTTATTATTTCAACTCTTAACTTAAGGGAAAATACTCATTACAGTATAATGTTTCAGATTTATCATCCCACTTGCATTATTTTCAATCAAGAATTTTTTTGTGGAAATTCTAACGTAGTGTTGTATTTTGTGGAAGAAAAGGGAGCTTGATCAATTGCGGTTTATTTGTTGCTTTTTATTTGTCGGTGGTTTGTCTGGATGTTTTGTTGTTCTATTTGCCCTATATAGATGATACCGATAGCCCGATGGGTGCGACGACTTGGAGAAAAGATGCCGCAAGAAGGAAAACCGACCTTACGCCGACTCTTCCAGCGTCGAAGGATCCAGGAATCAGGACACCGCCTTCAGGGAAAAAGTGCTCTCCAGGTAGGGCCTACTCGATGTCACGTCTGGACATCTTAGCATCCCCTAGACGCCCAAAACTCCCACAGCCTCACGCCCCAATCTCTAAGGGCATCGAGGTCTACCGATCGATGTCGGTCCTCCCAGGAAGTGATAAAGCGCCAAAGAACTCCATGAAAGGCGCTAAAAGCATGCTTCACTTAAGTCCAACACCTCCACCGAGAGCCACTAGGGCTGAGCGACTCAGGAAAAAAGCGAGAGAGATGGCGCAGAAAAGCCCTGAGGCTTCAGGTAAGTTTTATGTTTGTTTTTCAAATTCAAGCACTGACAACTTTATAAAAAGGAAAAAAGACAAATCAAATTTATTATCTAAACAACATTCACTTTGCTAAAATTCTCATGATATATCGGTTTGTAATGTAAGCCCATAGCATTTTTTTTTTTAATATAAATTTATAATTTTAATTTAAATAATTAAATTTTAATTTAATTATAAATTTCTAATTTTCATTTTTTAAATTCCTTTTCAATACGTACAGATAATGAATTTTCATGAGCAAATTAATGACAGGGATGAAAAGCAGACCCTAAATAGTGATGTGGCAGGAAAGCCAGAAACTTTTGGGTGTGACGTGCGCCCAAAAAACCTCATGATGCGTATTGATTAGCGTAGAAATTAATAATATTTGAGTGTGTCCGATACAGAAAATATTTAAAACAAAATCTCTCCATTACAGTTTATTTTAATGATGTTGAACTAAAACAAGAATACTTACTTAACGGGTGATGAATGACCAGTGTGTTGTACTGTCTCACAAATCAAAATTGATGGTGCTTTCTTCTAAAGCAATGATGCCCAAACTATGCGCTGTGGCTGTGCTACAAGGGCACCATGAAAATTTTTTATAAAAAATATTATTTTTATATTTATAAAAAATCTTAAAAAATACCCCTTCCCATTTTTAAAACCCTAAAAAGTAAGACCCTTGTAGCCATCCAATCTCAATATGGATTTTGGCAAGACAGCTTCAATTGTGTGTTTTATATTATTGCCCCAAAAAAATTATTCGCTTTTGTATTTTTGCTATTAAGTGAGTAATCGCTTTTCAAAAGGCAGGTTTTGCAATTTCACAAGAAAGTTAGGAGTTTTGATTATTTATTAAATAAAATTGCATACAAAATAAGAGGTTTAAATATATCTAATGCTTTTCTGAATTGGAAATAAATTACTAAGTTCACACTGAGATAGACCAGTGTTTTGACTTTAGGCGCCATGGAAAAATTCTGATATTTTAAGGGTGCCGGAAACAGGAAACGTTTGTAAACCGCTTTCTAAAGCATTATCACCATTCACACCCTAATTTTTCCTAGCAGCCCGAGCTGTTTTCCTCAATTAATCTCTTTTCAGAGCGTAAAGAGAGTAAAGAACAAAACACTAGAGGATTAAAATTAAATTATTGAAAAATGCTACGGACTTTTACAATCCAATACATCGCTGAAAGCTCCTAAAAGTTACCAAATTATAAAAATAACTATTCTTCATCAGACCATTTTTGCCTTTATATCATTAATTTTTTCATTCTTTCACTCCTTAGAAAACTGGGCGGAATCATTCATAAAGCATAATGTGTTAGAAAAGTTAAATATGGGTTTTTTCTTCCCTTTACATGCTATATTTAAAAACTTCATCTATTTGGTGTAATGTCTTCATCTTTTTAGTATTGTCTTCATGTTAAGTGGGGTTTAGGTTCAATATTTTGTCCTGTTATGTTGGACGCTTAATTCATCATTTTTTAACTCATTGACTGCAAACATATGTGATATATCTAACTTCTAAGCTGCAAATACATTGACAGGCAAAAAATTCCACCCACTTGTAATATAACTTGATTTGTATATATTTTTATATATTAATCAAATTGCACGTTTTTTAGCGTTAAATAATTGAATTTTTGTCTAAAAAAGTAATTAAAAAAATGTAAATTGCTAAGGAAAATGAAAAATATTTAAAAAATTGAAAAAAAAAAGGGACAGACAAAATTTGTTTTAGATTTTTAATTAACATTTCAATATCACTTCCTCCTCTTGCCATAATTACATCATGAAGACACCTCGGCATACTTTCTGCCAGTCTCGAAATATCTCTTTGCTGGAGGTTAGCACATTCTTCGCAAAGAGTCCTTTCAAGATCGTGGAGTGTATCAGGAAGTGGTGGACGTGCGCTTATTCATCTTTTGAGTTTATCCCATAAACGTTTGATGGGTTTCAAGTATGGCGAACAGGCTGGCCAGGCTCAGATTCTGATGTTATGCTGTTGAAGGTATGTTTGTACTATGTGAGCGACATGTGGATGAGCATTGTCATGTATTAGAGTAGGATTGTTGTTGATTTCATAGAGGATAGGCAACGCATGATTTTCCAAAATTTTATCCACATAGCGCATGGCTGTCAAAGATTCTCCACGAACACCAACTATGTGCGACTCTCCACTGAAATTCCCGCATTGAAAAGGTTGACTGGGAAAAATTACAGGCTCCGTACCTTTCATTTCGCCTTCTCCACTCTCTTTCACGCCCATCTGGAGATCGTAGAGCAAATCTACACTCATCTGTTAAAAGTACAGCAGACCAATCATCCAAAGATCAACGGCTGTTCTTAAGCAAATGCGAGCCGTGCAACTGCTTACATTCTGGTCGATTCTTGTCCTCTTACGGGGCGAAAAGCCATCAGTCCATTCTTATTTAATCTTCTTCGAGCAGAGCGTTCAGAAATTTGAACTTCCTGCAGCTGATGAATCGCTTGAACAACAAAGATAATATGCCGGTTTCGCAAAATTCTCAAAGTTAAAAAAACGGTCATCCTGTGGGGTCTGTTACTCTAGGGTGTACAGAACCGAGCCTTCTATGGTAGGACCCAATTTCTCGAAAGCATCTGACAGCGTCTCGCAGTGTTTCGTGGGAAACTCGGATGGCAATAGCCGCATACCTGACAGAACGTCTATCATCAATAAGAGCCACACCACGTGCAACATCCTCAGCACTAAGTGGAATTTTTAAGTTTTATTGCGTTACTGTTTGGTCCTTACCCGAGGGAGTGGATCTTTTCCTTGTTTAGATAAATGAATGAATAATAAACAAAAGAATATTAAAAAAGAAACAATTCTTATATTGAGATATTAACAAAATTTGAAATTAAGGTCGTCGGTTTGGAATTAACAAATTGACAATTTTTCAAAGGAAACTGACTGATTATTATTATCTTCTTTTAAATTAAAAAACAGAAACCATTCTTATATTGACTAAATATTACTACTACTATTATTTTTTTTAAATTAAAAAATGGAAACAATTCTTATGTTGAAATATTAACAAAACTTGAAATTAAGGTCTCAGTTTGGAATTAACAATTTGACAATTTTGT